TTTGGAGCAGCACTTGCATTATCTAGTAGAAGGGGAAGATTGGGAGACTTTCATGGATGTGTTAGCTCTTACCGTGTATGGCATCGTGTTGTTTCCTAAAGTAGAGGGCTTTGTGGATTATACCGCAATTGATGTTTTCGTGGCAAAAAAGACGAGATCTGAGAATCCCGTAACAGCGGTCCTTGCGGATGTTTATGGGACCATGAGTTTTTGCCACGAGAGAAAAGGGAGGAAAATACTTTGTTGTCTATCGGCGTTGTATGTGTGGATGACTGCGCGTCTATGTAAGGGGTCGGGTGATATCAGGTGTCCGTCGGAAGATCCTTCGCACCAGGGGCTCAAAGACAAAGGAGGGAATGAGTGGGCCCAATTCTTTGCCAGTTTGAATGGAGGAAAAGTAAGATGGCGTCTCCCTTGGCTTGAGACTAAGCCCTCCATCCATTATTGTGGCCCATTTTCCAATATACCCATCATAGGTACTCGATATTGCATAAATTATAACCCTATCTTGGTTCAAAGGCAATTCGGACATCCCATGAAAGGGGCACCCTCGCCGAAATACCTTACAATGTTATTCATCTATTATGAGGATGGGCACTTCACTGAAATATTGAGGAAAGTCAGAAGTGCTTGGGAAAATGTTATACGAGCAGAAAAGGATTTAAGATTGGGGGTGATGGACGACAAAATTAATTATCACACCTGGATCTGGGAAAGAGTAAAGGAAGTCAAATTGCCTTTCAAACCGATCGTTCATCAGCTAGCTAACGAAGGGCCATCCCAAGAACTAGAAAGCGATGAGGTGAAGCAATTGAAGATAGAGATGAAAAAACTGAGGGAGCAGAATGATAGGTTGGGAAAAGAATTGCAGACTGCGCGCAACGATTTGGTTGATATAAGGAATGATAAAGAAGAAAAAGCACAGGCCTATGAAGAAATTGTCAAAAGTCAGAAGGCTGAAAGAGCTTATACATTCCGATTGAAACAAGACCTCTTAACCGCGAGCAAAGAGCTGGCCATGAGAGTGAAGGAGAAAAACGCAGCATTAGAAGAGGGAAAACAATGGAGGCTCCTCTACGAAGAGGCCAAAAGAGACAAGCGAGAGGCTCTGAAGAGACTAAGAGAAGCGCAGGTTCAAATAGAAAAGGCGGGGCACGAGATGAAGGAAATGTCCTTATCCTTTGAAACAAGTATGAACCAAGAGCGCTGGAAGCTAGCAGAGGCAGAAGAAAAGCATTGCTCTATGATAAAACAAATGGAGGAGTACATTGAAGAGCAAGAGGAACGGTGGAGGTCAATGGAGCTTGGAGAGAGGCATCATGCCTTGGTAAAACAAATGAAAGACCACATCGCGATGCAAGAAGAGGCTGTGAAGCATTGGAAGGGAAGTTTTTCCCAATTGGCTATGTTGGCGAATGGAGCAATTGAAGACATTCCTAAGATGGTGTTGGACGCCGAAGCCACGACCCACTTTTGTAACCCGCCTCCCGAGATAATGCTTTTTATTAACCATTGTAAATGGCTAGTAGGCGAAATGAAGGCTTTCATTGCTCGGGTTAGGAAATGACTCATGTCTTGTTAGATTTTCTCTATATGAAAGACTTAAGATATTTTGTATGGTATCAACTTGTATCGATTTCCATCATTAACATTGTCGTGATCTTATGATTTCCACCTATCATTAGCATGCATCACATTTTTCCTTGTTCTTTCTCTCTCCCTTTTTCTCTCCTTTTTGTTTGAAGCATTTCATCTAACTTAAGTTAATAATAAAACAGTAAAAAAAAAACGGCCAACTTTCCACGACATGCCTACAGGACTCGAGCCAATTCAAGGATCATGGAAAGCTGGGAAGAGTCACAAGAATCCATCAAAGCTGAAATGAGTCAGTTGAAGGACCAGGTTGGACAAATCTTGGTTGCCCTTGAATCCCTGAAGGCTACTGGAGAGTCTTCTTCTACACTGTTTGGCGGGAATGCCCATTTTTATCCCCCGTTTTTCAATGCTACTAGCCAATCGATTCCTTTCCCGTTGTATGGGTTACCCTCGGGATATACTCCTCCCGTAGGAGAATATATTGAAGGGGGGCACGTGTCGTTTCCCATTCCTACAACTATTGATATCCCGCCAGTCACCACTCATGGACCTACCTCTGTGTCAGCTCCCTTGGTAAGTACTCAAACGAATGAACCGATCACAGTTGAAGGAACACGAGTGACTACGATACCGCACATAATTGTTAACCACGATTCTTCAGCAAGAGCCGCATCACAAACCGCGGCGCGTGCAGGAATCGACATCAGTAACGGTGCTAAAAACAGACTGGAGATTCTGGAGGAAAAAATGAGGGCTATTGAAGGGATGAAAAACTATGGGTTCGGAAATGTTACAAGACTAAGTTTGGTTCCTGGAGTAAAAATACCGTATAAGTTCAAGGCGCCCGAATTCGAGAAGTACAAGGGTGATACATGCCCTAAGAACCATCTGGCCATGTATTGCAGAAAAATGGCTGCGTACGCATATGACGACTAGTTACTCATCCATGTTTTCCAAGACAGTTTGGTTGGGGTAGCATTAAACTGGTATACTCACTTGGAGCCCTCTCGAATCCATTGTTGGGCAGATCTAGCCGACGCCTTTGTAAAACGGTATATATACAACACGCATGTAGCACCAGACCGTCTGCAATTACAGAATATGGGAAAGAAGGACAATGAGACCTTCAAGGAATATGCCCAACGGTGGAGAGAATTGGCCACACAAGTGGAGCCGCCTTTGTTTGAAAAAGAAATGGTGGCAATGTTTGTAAATACGCTTCAGCCACCATTTTATGAATATATGGTGGGGAATGTGTCCGCCAATTTCGCTGACGTCGTCATAATTGGCGAGAGGATAGAGATTGGGATGAAGAGCGGGAAGATTGCAAGTGGTCCATCTACGATGGAGAATTCTAAAAAGAAGCCTTCTTTCAATCCAGGAAAGAAAAAAGAGGGAGACGTGCATGCAACATTGGCAATGCCTGTATGGAGAGGTCAAGCTCCTTCTCAAAATTATAGACCATACCTAGGCCAACCTTCATATTCAGCCAATGCGGCTTTCGCTCATCCAATCAGGCCTCAACAACAACAAGGATTCTACCAATCACAACCCGTCACAAGCAATGCTTGGAGGACTGGGCCAAGTGCAAATCCAAATCCGAATGCAGGTCAAGGCGGTTATCCGGGAAGAACCCAGGAAAGAAACTTTGTCCACTTCACCCCCATCCCCATGACTTACACTGAATTATTACCTCACCTCGTCAAAAGGGGTCTGGTTGCTATATGCCCAATGATACCTCTGCAGCCTCCATACCCTAGGGGTTATGATGCAGATGCCAAGTGTAGTTATCACGGGGAAGGCGTGGGTCACTCAACTGAAAGGTGCATGGCTTTTAAACATAAAGTGCAGGCCCTGATTAACGCTGGGTGGCTAAAATTCCAAGAAGATAAACCTAGCATTGATACTAATCCGTTATCCGGACATGGTAATGCCTCGACAAATGCCATTGAAGTTAAGAAGCATGAACTGATAAGGGATGCAAGTAAGATCCGAAGTTCCAGAAGGTTTATTTTCAAGGAATTATTGAAGTTGGGATTTTTAAACGGGGCTTATGATTTGGAAAGAGTATGTGGACTCCATCCATGCACGGAACACTCTATCGAGGAATGCGTTGAATTTGAAAAGTTTCTACAAGATCTGCTTGATAGGAATCTGATGCAAGTGTGCTATGAAGACAAGTATGAGGAGGTGTTTGCACAAACTGGTATGGAGCCAGATGTAGCTTTGCCAGAGCCGTTGATAATCCGCTTCACTCGAACCACCCCTACACCAGTAATTCAAGGAAGATCACCCTTTGTCATCCATACACCAGTTCCTTTTCCTTACAAAAGCGATAAAGCTGTCCTTTGGAGGTATGGGACACATGTAGTCGATGAAGGACAGTGCATTGAAAGCCATTCCTCTAGCCAGGATCCAGTTGTTGAAAATATATCAGGCATCGGCGGAATGACGAGGAGTGGTCGAATCTTCACGCCACCAAATTTGACGGGAAGAGAAGCTAGTAATAATGAAACACCAATGGATGCAAATACTAAGGAGCATTTAAAGGGGAAAGGGGTGCAAGTAGAGGAGACCTCTGACAAGGCAGACAAGAAAGAAATCTCTGAGGAAGAGGCTTGCGAATTTTTAAAATTCATTCAACAGAGTGAATATAAGGTGGTGGAGCAGTTGAAACGCATGCCTGCTCGGATTTCCTTGTTAGAATTGCTTATGCATTCTACCTCTCATAGAAAGTTGTTGATGAAGGTACTCAGTGAGGCTCATGTCGAGCATGGTATTTCGTTGAACAAGTTTGAGGGTATCGTTGGCAACATCATCGCTAATAATTACCTCACCTTTACTGACGAGGAGATACCCACTGAGGGGAGAGGTCATAACAAGGCTCTTCATGTCTCCGTGAAATGTTTAGATCACATTATAGCACGTGTCTTGGTGGACAATGGTTCCTCTCTGAATGTCATGCCAAAATCGACATTGGAGAAGCTACCCTGTGAGGGAATGCATATGAAGCCAAGCTCCATGATTGTGAGGGCATTTGACGGCAGTAAAAGGGTAGTGATGGGAGAGATTGAATTGCCCGTTCAAGTTGGTCCTTGTGTCTTTCAGGTGACCTTTCAAGTTATGGACATCCTCCCGGCTTATAGTTGTTTGTTGGGTCGCCCGTGGATCCATTCTGCAGGAGTTGTGCCTTCCACACTACACCAAAAGCTGAAATATGTTATGGGAGATAAGCTGGTGATAATATCAGGAGACGAGGACCTCCTTATGAGCGGACCATCGTCCACGCGATATATTGAGGTGGCTGAGGAAGCTCCTGAAACTGCCTTCCAGTCATTGGAGATCGTGGGAAATGCCTATGTAGAGCCATTCCCAGCAAGCCCACATTTGTCACGTGCTTCTGTCATGATGGCCAAGGTCTTGCTGAAAGAGGGGTATATACCTGGTAAAGGTTTAGGCAAGCATGGGCAAGGGCGAACTTTCCCCCTAAAGGTCGTTCAGAATAGAAACCGATACGGCATAGGGTATGAGCCCAACAAAGAGGACAAGCGAAAGTTGATGGAGGAAA